CTTTTACCAGTTAGCGGCTGGGATTCTGGCGGAAGTCACGAGTGCGCAAAGCAACTGCGAAAAAACTCGTGTGCTTTCTTGTTTCGCAAGAAGTACATCACTTGTGGTGCAAAAGTCCTCTGCGTCAAGGATCAGGATACGGTACATGGTATACAGCACCACAACCATGGCAGTGCACATTTGGGTGGGGAAGTGCAAGATGGGGGAGGATCGGGATCAGATTCTATTGATTGAGAAAGCTTGCTTTCTGATGTTTGCAAGGCAGCGTGCTTCATTTTAATTGGGTAATTACAACATTCTCGTCCAACTTAACATTACAAAAACATCAACTAGGGGTGGGCGGGGGGGAGGCGGAACTGAAAAGTTCGGAAATGAAGACGTGGGTGGAGGCCAAATGGCCTCCAACCCTTGTTATGTACTCGGGAAGAGGCATTCGTAGCTGCCTTGCTTCACTACAGTCAGCTGCGCTTTTACAATCTTTATTTTTAGAAAGTGCTTCACACTTTCAAAAAACTTCATATTGAGAAAGCTTGCTTTCTGATGATTGCAAGGCAACGTGCTTCATTTTAATTGGGTCTTCTGAGACATGTGCGTGCGTGGGCAAAGTGTAGATCGTAGAGCCGGGTGATGGCGATGTCTAGTGATATCGGTTTTTGGTGCAGGTCGTTGCATTTCATGTCGACGTGGGTATGCGAGTTGCTCCCTCCTTTGGTAGATGTCTGTGCTGATCGTTGTTGGTGGAGTGGGGGGCCGTGGTTTAGATTGATTGTTGTGCTGGCATGCGCGGTGGAGAAGATGGTTGTTGAAGACGGCCGATGTGGCAGTAATGAAGCGCCCAGTGTTGCGCGGAGACTGATGTCGCAATTTTGATATTGTTTGGTCAGAGACGAGGTGTAGGGTCTTGGACTAGTGACGTGTTATCAAGAATCGATGCTTCAGTTTGGAATTTTCATATTTGCGATTGGCCTCGAGTACGAGATCTTTAGGTTGAGGAACTAAGTGGGCCCAGAATGAGGTGTAGTCGTATGAGAGTGGCTGATATTGAAATATGATGCCTACTAGACCGGTACGGTATGCATCATTTGCAACAATTTGAGATCCGAAAGGGTGTGGGCTTGTAATAAAAAATGGCGCACAGCGAAACCTCCAGCCATGCGCTACTGACCCATCAGTTGCTTGTCTCTTGACCCATCGGTTGCTCGTCTCGTGGCCCATCGGTTGCTCATCTCGTGGCCTGTTGCTCGTCTTGTTGCCCACCGGCTGCTCATCTTGTGGGCTATCAGTTGCTAGACCATTAACCCATCAATTGCTCCTCGCTTGGCCCATCGGTTGCTCGTCTCGTGGCCGATCGGTTGCTCGTCTCGTGGCCCATCGGTTGCTCGTTGTTTGATCCATCGGTTGCTCGGTCCCTTGGCCCATCGGTGCGCGTCTCTTGGCCTAAAGGTTGCTCGTATCGTGGTCTATCAGTTGTTCGTCTCGTGCCCATCGGCTGCTGGCCCATTGGCCTATCTGTGGGCCATCGGCTGCTCGTCTCGGGGCCCATCGGTTGCTCGTCTCGTGGCCCATCGGTTGCTCGTCTCGTGGCCCATCGGTTGCTCGTCTCGTGACCCATCGGTTGCTCGTCTCGTGGCCCATCAGTTGCTCGTCTTGTCAGAATCCCAGTCACTAGACCACTGGGATAAAAGGGCTTGTTAAGTAGCGGGTCACTACGCCCATAACCCCCCAGGCCAACATGCCTGTAAAACTTCCCTAGGATCAATTGGGGATCACCAATGGACCTCTGACACCCTCCCGCACTGGGATGCCCGAAGTGCGCACGCTGGGATTCGAACCCGAGACCTCCGCTCTGATACCATGTCAGAATCCCAGTCACTAGACCACTGGGATAAAAGGGCTTGCTAAGTAGCGGGTCAGTGCGCCCATAACCCCCTAGGCCAACATGCCTGTAACCCTTCCCTAGGATCAATCGGGGATCACCAGTGGACCTCTGACACGTCTCGTAGCCCATCGGTTGCTTGTCTCGTAGCCGATCGGTTGCTCGTCTCGTGGCCCATCGGTTGCTCGTCTCGTGGCGCGTCAGTTGCTCGTCTCGTGACCCATCGGTTGCTCATCGGTTGCTCGTCTCGTGGCCCATCGGTTGCTCGTCTCGTGGCGCATCGGCTGCTTGTCTCGTGACCCATCGGTTGCTCGTCTCGTGGCCCATCGGTTGTATGTCTCGTAGCCCATCGGTTGCTCCTCTCTATCTTGGACCGTACTGATGGTTGCACAAGAAAAAATGACAAGAGGTGCATTGACTTCCCTGCCATACCATATTACTGTTGTCTCGTACGGTAGCTCCAGTCAACAAAGTATATTGTCGAAGCGTGATCGATTACCGGTAGTGGATGGTAAATTACCTTGACATTTGATACATGTTTTACTTTCCCCTCTATTGTTCGGAAGGTGTGACGAAACAAGTCATCGTACTAGAGAATTATGGTTGCATGACACTCTCTCCTTCCCCATTGTGCAGTATAGGTGATTGATTAAGTAGGATCCAATAGATGTTGCACTCTACCAACCTTACCAAAGTCAGTCAAATGATTGTTGGTGGCTCCAACGTGCGATTAGGACCAAGATTGCTCGCTTTTTTTCTCTTTTTTTTTTTTACTAATATCATATTATACATAACCCATGATACTACAAGTCCACATACACAGTAACCGAGGTTTTCCCCATCTCATGGAGTCCGCAAATCCTACCTTCCTAAGAAGGTGGCCCTCTGGCCAGCATACTTAGTACCTTTCCACTCCCCTCCAGAAAGTGCTTTTGGCCAAATATCGAGGTTCACGGACCTCAGTCCCCTTCCCCCCCTGAGGGCGGCTCTCAGGCCAACTGGGGGACCCTCGGTCCCCTTCCCCCGCTGGGGGCGGCTCTCAGGCCAACTAGGGGACCCTCCGTCCCCTTCCCCCCCTGGGGGCGGCTCTTAGGCCAACTAGGGGACCCTCGGTCCCCTACCCCACCTGGGGGCGGCTCTTAGGCCAACTAGGGGACCCTCGGTCCCCTTCCCCCCCTGGGGGCGGCTCTCAGGCCAACTAGGGGACCCTCGGTCCCCTTCCCCCACTGGGGGCGGCTCCCGGTCCCTCCTTACGATGTGCGTGCAGTTGATCCCGTCGACGTTGCTTTTTTTTTTTTTTTTTTTTTTCCGCGTGATTAGTAGAATCCGACTTCAATCAACGGCTTTCCATCTTGTGCCGGTTTTTCTGCCATCAAGAGAGTCGAGGGGGTATCGAGATATATAAGCAATGCCAAAGAAAATCAGAACTGGAAGAAAATAAATAAAAATAAAAATAAAAATAAAAACAGTTGCAACGATTTCTACGCAATGAAGTAATTGGTGAGGTGACAAGGGGTGCTCCCAGTCAAACACCTTAGGCGCGGCAGTAGTGTCAAACTCTTATACTATAGTCTGTCTATGCTGTAGTGGGGTAGACAATATGGGGTACAACACTTCTAGGTTTTCCTACTTGTACCCACCTCCTTGCTAGTTCATTCATTCCTCATTCTTCACATGGTATAGAGCAGGTTCCCTAGTGGGAACGCTTCATTGGGCCCACCACTCAAATCTTCCTTTCTGACCGGAGCGCCAGTCGCTCCTGCTCGAGGCGCGCCTTTTTCGCCGCCCTCTCCAGGCCCCTAGTGGCCCCTAGCTGCCTTGTTGCCGCCCCCCACGCGGCCCCGTTGCCGCCCCTAGCGGCCCCGTCACCGCCCCTAAGCGGCCCCGTCGCCGCCCCTTGCGGCCCCGTCGCCGCCCCATACCCTACGCGGCCCCGTCGCCGCGCCTAAGCGGCCCCGTCGCCGCCCCAAGTGGCCCCGTCGCCGCCCCTTACCCTACGCGGCCCCGTCGCCGCCCCTACGCGGCCCCGTCGCCGCCCCTGGCGGCCCCGTCGCCGCCCCTATCGGCCCCGTCGCCACCTCTCACCCTAGGCGGCCCCGTCGCCGCCCCTACGCGGCCCCGTCGCCGCCCCTGGCGGCCCTATCGCCGCCCCTATCGGCCACGTCGCCACCTCTCACCCTAGGCGGCCCCGTTGCCGCCCCTACGCGGCCCCGTCGCCGCCCCTAAGCGGCCCCGCTGCCACTCCTAAGCGGCCTCGTCGCCGCCCCTAAGCGGCCCCGACGCCGCCTCTATGCAGCCCTGTCGCCGCCCCTAGCGGCCCCGTCGCCTCTCCCCTCCCTACGCGACCCCGTCGCTGTCCCTAGCGGCCCCAACGCCGCCTCTACCAGCAGCCCAGCAGCACAGCCGCCGAGCCGCCCAGCAGCAGAGCAGCCGAGCCGCCCGACAGCCGAGCCGCCCAGCTGTAGAGCAGCCGAGCCGCCCGACAGCCGAGCCGCCCAGCAGCCGAGACGCCGAGCTGCCCGACAGCCGAGCCGCTGAGCCGCCGAGCTGCCCTGTCGTCAAGCCGCTACCAGTCCTACCGGTGCGCCCCGGCCCTACTTACTTGTACTGGTGAGCTCACTCCTTGCTAGACATCTGGAGTCATGGCTACCCCCAGTGTTCTTATCTTTGACAGTGAGGGTGATGTGGTTGACTTTGAGGTCTGGGTCGATGACCTCCAGCTGTTCCTCCAATGCGATAGGGCAGACGACCTCTCTTTGTTCGACCTCACCTCTAGTGAGGTGTTGTTCGCCTGCCCCGCCTGCTACTCCTGACAGCATTGTTCGCTCACAGTGGGCGACACGCGATGCTACTGCCCGTCTTGCTGTGCGTCGCCACTTACCGACCACTGAACGTGCACACTTTAGCCAGTACAAGAGTGCTCAGACCTTGTACGACGTTGTAGTTGCACGCTACTCTTCCCCTGCCACTGCTGCTCTTAGCCGCCTTATGCTACCGTACCTCTTCCCTGACCTTGCTGCCTTTCCCACAGTCGCTGACCTCATTACGCACCTCCACACTAGTGACACTCGCTACCGCGCTGCGCTTCCTGCTGAGTTTTGTGCCAAGAACCCCCCCCCCCCCCATGTACATCACCCTCTACTACAAAGTCACCCGGCTCCCTAACTCTCTTCGCTTAGCCAGGGACCACTTCCTCTCAGTTTGCCCCACCATACTCACCATTGACCTACTCGAGGTGTGCCTCCTAGCAGCAGAGAAGAGGATAGTAGCTGTAGGAGCCTCTCGTGGTGACCCTCGCACCCCCATCTTTGAGGGGTGTTCCCCCTCCCCCCTCTTGCCCTCTCTTGCTTCTGCTGCTGTTGCCGACCTCGTTGGTTTCTACGGGGTCGGCGCTACGTCTGCCCCTAGCGGGCAACGCCGCACCGACAAGGGCAAGGGGGGCAAGGGAGCTGGAGGGGCTAGCGGAGGCGGTGGAGGTGGTGGTGGCGGCGGTGGAGGGGGTGGGGGTGGTGGTGGGAGTGGTGGCGGGGGTGGTGGCGGCGGTGGAAGCAGTGGAGGCGGAGGAGGCGGCGGTGGTGGCGGAGGGAGCGGAGGTGGCGGAGGTGGCGGAGGCGGCGGAGGTGGCGGAGGCAGCGAAGGAGGCGGAGGCGGCGGCGGCGGCAGTGGAGCTGGTCGCGACTCTGCGCAGAGGAGTGGGTCCGGTGGTGGTCCGCGCCAACAGCAGCAGCGCAGTCGTGAGACCCTGTCCCCTCAGCAGCTTCGTGAGTGGTACGCTGCGCGTCAGCGTGGTGGGGGTACTAGTCCCTACAGTTTCGTTCTCCGTACCGGCGTCCGCACTGGTGAGCGGTGCGGTGGGCCGCACTCCACCTAGCGCTGCTTCGGCCGCCTGACGGACGCGTGGCGTCACTAGTTCCCTGAGGCGTCAGAGATCCCTCGCTGGGGAGATCTGTCTAGGGTGGGGGTTGCCATCTTTGATCTTGACTATGATGCTATTCTTGCTGCCATGTATGCTGTGACTGTTAGTGTTGAGGGTGACTGCTACCTGTTTGTTCCGCCTGACCCGGGCATTGAGGCTGCTGCTCTAGGTGCTGGCGTGGCTGCTGCTCTAGGTGCTAGTACGTCTTCTGCCCCAGGTACTAGTGCGTCTGCTGCCCCAGGTGCTGGTGAGTCCGCTCTCTCAAGTACTACGTCGGCTCAGGCCCTACACACCTTCACCCTTGACTCGGGTGCTTCTCGCTCCTTCTTTCGAGACCGCACCACGCTTACGCCGCTTAGTCGCTCGGTTGCAGTCTCCCTGGCGGACCCCTCTGGGGAACCCGTCCTTGCTAGCTTCTCCACTGTCTTACCGTGCCCGGCAGCCCCCTCTGGCACCCTGTCAGGTCTCTACCTCCCCTCGTTCTCTACGAACTTGGTGAGTGGAGCTGACCTACAGGATAGGAGGGTCGACCAGTTCACTCCTGCAAGTTAGCGGGTGACATACTGCACGTGCGCTCAGACGGGCCAACACTTGGCCACGTTTGCCCATCGGCCAGGGTCGAGCCTGTACACACTTACTACTGAGTCTCCTCCGCTCCTGAGTCTGGCCAGGTAGCAGCGTCGAGTTAGGTGTTTGCTGTAGCGTCCAGGTCTGGTCCTGAGTCTGCTCCCTGCTCGTGTCGTCTCCTGTCTCACTAGACTCTCCTTTGGCACCACCGCCTTGGTCACCCCTCCCTGCCTCGTCTCCGAGGCATGGCCTCCCATGTCCTTGTCTCTGGTCTTCCCCGTTCTCTCCCTCCCCTACCTCCGGGGCATGCCCCCACCTGCGTTCCCTTCGTCGAGGGGCGACATCGCGCCGCCCCTCACTCCTCCGAGTTTCCTCCGACAGAGGCTCTGTTGCAGACTCTCCACATGGACGTGTGGAGCCCTGCCCGCGCCCGTGGACAGGGGCATGAGCATTACTTCGTGTTGGTGGTTGACGACTACTCGCGTTACACCACACTCTTCCCCTTGCGCAGCAAGGGTGACGTCACTGAGGTGTTGATCGACTGGATCCGCGCAGCTCGTCTTCCTTGGCTTCCCCCCTGACGCGCCTGATTGGCAGTTTTACCACCCCACCTCGCGCTGTGTTCTGTCCTCCCAGGGGGGTCACCTTTGACGAGTCGGTACCTTACTACCGTCTCTTCCCTTACCTCACTGCGCCCCTCCCCCCGCCGCCGCTCTTCCTTGAGCCAGGTCCTCCCCCGGTAGACCCCCTCCCCCCTCAAGGTCCTGCCCCGTCAGGTGTGTCCCAGATAGACGCAGTCGAGCCTGTCGAGGTAGCTGTTGACTCTGGTGCTCTTGGAGGTGCTGAGCCTGCGGGTGCTGAGTCTGGGGGTCCTGCGACTGGGGGTGCTGCGTCTAGGGGTGCTGAGCCTGGGGGTGCTAAGTCTGGGGGTGCGGAGCCTCGGGGTGCGGAGCCTGGGGGTGCTGGGTCTGCTTGTGTGGCCGCCGGCGGTGCTTCGTCGAGGCGGGAGCCGCTCTCTCCACAGGAGCTGCGCGAGTGGTTTGCCCCGCGATGGAGCCGTGCTTCTAGAGCTGGAGGTACTACTGTTGCTGCTGGTCCCGGAGGTGCTCGTACTGGCGGTGCTGGAGCTGCTGGGGCTGGGGGTGCTGCTGAGGCTACTAGAGTTAGTCGTGCTGGAGGTACTGCTAGAGCTGCTGGCGGTACTGGAGCTGCCGGTCCTACTGGAGTTGGTGCTACTGGAGCTGGAGCTGCTGGGGGTGTTGGCACTGGTGGTTCTACTGGCGCTGGTGTGTCTGAGGGTGCTGGAGTTGGCGCTGTTGGAGTTGGAGGTGCTGTTGGCGCTGGTGCTGCCGCTGGGGGTACTGGTACTGTCCGTGCTGGTTCTGGAGGCGCTGCGCGGCCGCGGCCATACTTCGCTCCGCTCCTTGAGCAGTGACAACATTGGCCAGGAGACGCGTGACAGTGACAACACTGGCCAGAAGACGCGTGATAGTAGGACTGGCAGCACGAAGAGAGTCAGACTCAGGGTCAGTAAGGAGAGGAAGAGAGGACTCTGGAGGAGACGGCAACGGGACACGAAGGGGAGCAGTGGAAGGACGTAATGCCATCTGATATGTGCCTGGAACCGCAAGAGGACGCGGACGCGGAACACGACGACTAGTGCGAGCAGCACAAACAGGCAACACAGGACGAGACGCAGGCTCACGACGCTCAGCAAGACCTCCAGTAGGACCAGTGTAGGGAGAAGGAGCACGAAGAGGGGAGGCGGGCTGTAACTGTGACAGTGACTGGACGGGCAGTGGACACTCTAAGGGAGGGGCAGGACCAGTAGAGGGCTGGAGACCAAGAACCTGCTCAAGGAGCGGAACGAAGTACGGCCTCGGCCGCGCAGCGCCTCCAGAACCAGCAGGGACAGCACCAGTACACCCAGCGGCAGCACCAGCGCTAGCAACACCTCCAGTTCCAATAGCGCCAACTCCAGCAACCTCAGACGCACCAGCGCCAGCAGAAACACCAGTGCCAACACCCCCATCAGCTCCAGCTCCAGCAGCACCAACTCCAGCAGGACCGGCAGCTCCAGTACCGCCAGCAGCTCCAGCAGGACCAACTCCTGACGGGGCACACCTGACGGGGCAGGACCCTGAGGGGGGAGGGGGTCTACCGGGGGAGGACCTGGCACAAGGAAGAGCGGCGGCGGGGGAAGGGGCGCAGCGCGGTAGGGGAAGAGACTTGTCAAAGGTGACGTCCTAGGAGGACAGAACACGGCGCGAGGTGGGGTGGTAAAACTGCCGACCACGCGCGTCAGGGGGGAAGCCAAGGAAGACGCAGGGAACAGCACGGGGGGACAGCTTGTCCGCAGACAATTCGCGGACAAACGCCCGAGATCCCCAGACCCGAAACCCAGACGCATCGCCAACCTTCCCCGTCCACCGCAAGGTGGGGGAGGTCTCTGGCAAGGAGACCCGGGGCTGAAGGTTGAGCTGATGCGCCGCGTACTGAACCGCAAATGGCCACAGAAAATGTGGGGCAACCGCATGGATCATGGACGTATGAGCGACGTCCGTGACCATACCAATGCGGCGCTCAGCAATCCCATTTTGCTGTGGAGAGGCTGAAAGCGTGAAGGTGTGGCGAATGCCCTGTGCCCGACAGAAGGCTCCCAGACGGGCAGAGGAAAACTCCCCGCCTCTGTCAGAGTGTAGACGCAGAACAGGAAAGACCGAGCCGAAAATCTCTCTCAGCTGGAGACGAGCTGCGCAGATCCAGCCGATCAGCACCTCAGTGACGTCGCCCTTGCTGCGCAAGTGGAACACCGTGGTGTAACGGGAGTAGTCGTCAACCACCAACAGGAAGTAACGCTCGTGCCCCTGGCCACGGACGCAAGCGGGGCCTCACACGTCCATGTAAAGAGTCTGCAACGGAGCCCCTGTCGGAGGAAACTCGGAGGAGTGAGGGGCGGCGCGCTGTCGCCCCTCGACGCAGGGGACGCGGGTAGGGGCATGCCCCGGATGTAGGGGAGGGAGAGACCAGGGGAGACCAGAGACAAGGACACGAGAGGCCATGCCTTGGAGACGAGGCAGAGAGGGGTGACCAAGGAGGTGGTGCCAAAGGAGAGTCTGGTGAGACAGGAGACGACACGAGCAGGGAGCAGACTCAGGACTAGACTTGGACGCCGCAGCAAACACCTAACTCAACGCAGCGACCCTGACCAGGCTCAGCACTTGAAGGAGACTCGGTAGTGAGGGTGTACAGGCTCGACCATGGCCGACAGGTGAACGTGGCCAGGTGTCGGCCTGTCTGAGCACACGTGCAATGGGTCACCTGCTGTCTCGCACGAGTGAACTGGTCAACCCCCCTATCCTGTAGATCAGCTCCACTCACCAAGTTCGTAGAGAACGAGGGGAGATAGAGACCTGAAAGGGTGCCAGAGGGGGCTGCCGGACACGGTAAGATAGTGGAGAAGCGAGCAAGGACAGGACCCCCAGAGGGGTCCGCCAGGGAGACCGCAACCCGCCGACTAAGCAGCGTAAGGTTGGTGCGGTCTCGAAAGAAGGAGCGGGAAGCACCCAAGTCAAGCGTGAAGGTGTGTAAGGCCTGAGATGACGTGGTACCTGAGAGGGCAGACTCACCAGCACCTGGGGCAGCAGACGCGCTAGCACCTAGAGCAGCAGCCTCACCAGCACCTAGAGCAGCAGTCTCAATGCCCGGGTCAGGCGGAACACACAGGTATTAGTTACCCTCAACACTGTCAGCAACAGCATACATGGCAGCAAGAATAGCATCAAAATCAAGATCAAAGATAGCAACCCCCACCCTAGACAGCTCTCCCCAGCGAGGAATCTCAGAGGCCTCTGGGAAGTGGTGCCGCCACGCGTCCGTCAGGCGGCCGAAGCAGCGCTGGGTGGAGTGTGGGCCCCCGCACTGCTCACCCGCGCGGTCGCCGGTTCGGAGAACGTAGGTGCAGGGACCAGTACCCCCACCGCGCTGACGCGCAGCGTACCACTCACAAAGCTGCTAAGGGGACAAGGTCTCACGACTGCGCTGCTGCTGTTGGCGCGGACGACCACGGGAGCCACTCCTCTACGCAGAGCCGCGACCAGGTCCACTGCCGCCGCCGCTCCCGCCTCCGCCACCTCCGCCGCCTCCGCCACCTCCGCCGCCTCCACCGCCTCCACCGCCTCCGCTCCCTCCGCCACCGCCGCCGCCTCCTCTGCCTCCACTGCTGCCACCGACACCTCCACCCCCGCCACCACTACTACCACCACCCCCACCCCCTCCACTGCCTCCACCACCACCTGCACCGCCATCGCTAGCCCCTCAAGCGCCCTTGCCCCCCTTGCCCTTGCCGGTGCAGCATCTCCCGCTCGGGGCAGACGCAGCGCCAACCGACTCGAAACCAACGAGGTCGGCCGCAGTAGCAGAGGCAACAGAGGGCAAGAGGGGGGGGGGGGGACACCCCTCAAAGACGGGGGTGCGAGGGTCACCACGAGAGGCTCCTACAGCGACTATACTCTTCTCTACTACTAGGAGGCGCTCCTCGAGGAGGTCGACGGTGAGTGTGGTGGGGCAAACAGAGAGGAAGTGGTCCCTGACTAATCGAAGGGAGTCAGGGAGGCGGGTGACTATGTAGTAGAGGGTGATGTACATGGGGGGGGGGGGTTCTTGGCACAGAACTCAGCAGGAAGCGCAGCGCGGTATCGAATGTCACTAGTGTGAAGGTGAGTGATAAGGTCAGCGACTGTGGGAAAAGTAGCAAGGTCAGGGAACAGGTACGGCAGCATGAGGCGGCTAAGAGCAGCAGTGGCAGGGGAAGAGTAGCGTGCAACTACAGCGTCGTACAAGGTCTTAGCACTCTTGTACAGGCTAAAGTGCGCACGCTTAGCAGTCGGAAAGTGGCGACGCACAGCAAGGCGACCAGCAGCATCGCGTGTGGCCCACTGTGAGCGAACACTGC